GGAAGTGTCACCTCCTTGGACCTATTCGTCATGCATCTGTTGATGCACGATAAAGTGCCATTGGCTTTTCTGATGGCTTCGTTACACTGCCGACTCATGTTCATCTTGGAGTCCACTAGGACTCCAAGATCCCTTTCCGCTTCTGTGCCACCCAGCAGGTCATTCCCTAGGCAGTAGGTGTGCTGGACATTTTTCCTCCCTAGGTGCAGCACTTTGCATTTCTCCTTGTTGAACTGCATTCTGTTGTTTTCTGCCCACTTGTCCAACCTATCCAGGTCTGCTTGCAGCTGTTCCCTGCCCTCCGGCGTGTCCACTTCTCCCCATAGCTTTGTGTCATCCACAAACTTGGACAGAGTACACTTCACTCCCTCGTCCAAGTCGCTGATGAACACATTAAAGAGTATCGGTCCAATCTAGTTTATATTAAACCAAGAAGGGGTCTGGGGCAGACATTGCATAAACCAGTTTGACCCAAATCAGTTAAGTCTAATACTACATTCAACCAGGTTTATCTCAAACTAGTTTCAGCCATTTTCAAACTGGTTTATGTGCACTGAACATCTGTTCTGTTACAGGTTTAAACCAGTTTCTGATCATTTAAACCAGTACGTATGTAATGTCTGTCCCTAGCCCCAAGGAGTAACTTCATGCCATGAAGCAGAGTAAAAGTTTTATTGAAAAACTGATTGAAGAACTGCCTTGCCAAAGCAAATGTCAGCACTGGATGCCTAGTCTGGAAACTAAAGTTTTGTTAAATATGAACTGCCCAGGGGACAGATCTATAAATTTCAGAGACAGAAATATTTCTAAAAGAGGCTAAAGACATATCCTCAGATCTGGTAGAACCAGGGGATCTGTTTAGCTGTTTTATAACAGCTGTATGAGCACTTGTGGTGCTCTGGCCAGGTCCCAGAGGACTGGAAAAGGGCCAATGTGGTCCCCATTTACAGGAAGGGAAGAAAGGAGAACCGGGGTAACTATTGGCCAGTTAGTCTCACCTCGGTCCTTGGGAAGACCTTTGAGAAAATTATCAAGGAGCACATCTGTGGGGGCCCAGCATGGGAGGTAATGCTCAGGAGCAACCAACACGGGTTCATTGCAGGCAAATCCTGCCTGACTAGCCTAGCCTTGTTTCCTTTTACGACCAGGTCACAAAGTCCTTGGATGTGAGTGTTGAGGTGGATGTCATCTATGTCATCTACCTGGACTTTAAGAAGGCCTTTGACACTGTTTCTTACCCTATTCTTTAAAAAAAACTAGACGACTGCAGCATTGATGCCTACAGTAAGATGGGTGGCATATTGTCTCAAAGGTCTCACCCAGAGAGTGGTGGTGGATGGGTCATTTTCAGTCTGGAGGGATATGGGCAGTGGAGTTCCCCAGGGCTCGGTCCTTGGGTCTGTGCTGTTCAACATCTTTATCAGTTACTTGGAGGTGAGCGTGGAAAGCACACTGTCCAAATTTGCTAATGACACAAATATGTGGGGAGAAGTAGGCACACTGGAGGGGAGGGACAGAATCCAACTAGATCTAGACAGGTTACAGAGGTGGGCGGATGAGAATAGAATGGAATTCAATGCAGGTAAGTGCAAGGTGCTGCATCTAGGGAGAAGGAACCTGCAACATACCTATAGGCTGGGGAACACCATTCTCAACAGCAGTGACTGAAAGGGATCTTGGGAGTCATTGTTGACTCCAGGATGGACATGAACTGCCAATGCGAGGAAGCAGTCAGTAAGGCTAACCGCACCTTGTTGTGCATCTACAGATGCATCACAAGCAGGTCCAGGGAGGGGGTCCTTCCCCTCTATGTGGCACTGGTCAAGCCACAGTTGGAGTACTGCATCCAGTTCTGGGCGCCACACTTCAAGAGGGATGTGGCTAACCTTGAGAGGGACCAGAGGAGGGCCATTCACAAGGTCAGGGGGCACCAGGCCATGCCCTATTTAGATAGACTAAAGGGCCTGAATTTATTCAGCCTTCACAAGAGAAGACTGAGAGGGGATCTGGTGGCCATCTATAAAGTCACCAGGGGGGACCAGCAGAAAATAGGTGAGGCTCTGTTCCCCCAGGCACCACTTGGGATAACAAGGAATAATGACCACAAATTGATTGAGAGTATGGTCAGGCTTGATATCAGGAGGCATTACTTTACAGTTAAGGCTGCCAGGCTCTGGAATGGGCTCCCAAGGGAGATGGTACATGTACAGCATGGCAAGATGTGCAATTTTTGGAGCATACCATTCCTCATATTTAAATTGTGTCATTATTTTAACATCTGCCAGGGCCCCAGAAATCTCAGATGAGGTCTAAACGAGACTATATGTACGAAGGTGCCCAGTCAAAAAACCATAAAAGGTTGAATTTTTCCTATCTTATGGACAGAAGTAGTATCAATCTAAAACAGTGTTTTCATGGAAAGATGATGTAAAACCTTGTTGCTAATCACCCAAATGGAGGGCCCATCAGACCAACTAATTGCATAATAGGTGATATTTGCAATATCACCCCAACTACAAGTGGGAGTCTCCTAGTGGCAGGGAAAATATGTACTGAATCCTTTATTAATCTATAAACTGTATAGATTTCATAGATATTAGGGCTGGAAGGGACCTCAGAGGATCATCCAGTCCAACCCCTGCCCCAGGGGCAGGAAGTCAGCTGGGGTCAAAGGATCCCAGCAAGATAAAAGTTCAAATGCCTCTTAAAGGAGTCCAGAGTAGGTGTTTGCACCACCTCTGGTGGCAGTCTGTTCCAGGCCTTGGGGGCTCGGACAGTAAAGAAGTTCTTCCTTATGTCCAGCCTGAAAGGGTCTTGGAAGAGTTTATGACGGTTTGACCTTGTGGTCCCTTGGGGAACTCTGGTGAACAGGCATTCCCCCAGATCCTGATGCACACCCCTTATATACTTGTAGGCAGCCACAAGGTCACCTGTGAACCTGCGCTTTTCCAGCCTAAAGAGTCCCATGGCTCTCAGCCTCTTATCGTAAAGCCTGTTCTCCTGCCCTCTGATCATGCGCATGGCTCTCCTCTGGGCTCTCTCAAGTTTCTCCACATCCTTTTTAAATTGTGAAGCCCAGAACGGGATGCAGTACTCCAGCTGCGGCCTCACCAATGCCAAGTACTGGGGGAGGATGACATCCTGGGATCTGCTTGAGAAGCATCTATGGATGCAAGCCAGAGTTTTGCTTGCTTTACCAGCTGCAACATCACATTGGTGGCTCATATTTATCTTGTGGTCAATCATGAAATCATGACCCCCAAGTCACTTTCAGCCATGGTGCTAGCAAGCATAGCACTGCTGAGCCTGTAAGCATGCTGTGGGTTTTTCTTCCCAAGGTGGAGTACCTGGCATTTTTTGGTGTTGAATGCCATCAGGTTTTCGTCCGCCCATTTTCTGAGCCTGTCAAGGTCGGCCTGGATCACCCTCCTGTCCTTGGTTGTGGATGCTTTACCCAAAAGTTTGGTGTCATCAGTGAATTTGGCCAGTCCACTTCTGATACCAATGTCTACATCATTTATGAAGATGTTAAAGAGTATAGGCCCAAGGACAGAGTATGAAATACTGTGATTCTGAAATCATGGAAGACGGGTAGATACAATTTTCCATGTCTAGCATCTAATAACTGGGGGTCACCTTTAAGTCAGCTTAGATTAAGTTAAATATGGCAATAACGAGAGGTGTCTTGGTCATTGGGCAAAAAGTAAACTAAATATAGATTGTTTTAGGACTTATGAAATACATAATATTTCCCATCATCAGTGATCAACTTACAAAGAAATAGTTGATTGGTTCACTTATCCGTCTGAAGAGCTGCCTTACCCACAGTATCTTTCCTGATACAGGGGGCATGTTTCGAGCAAGAGGAGGATCATCTTTTTGGGTCTGGTAAAGCTACAATATATTAATAATTAATAAATGCAAGTATAAAAACTGTTAACAAATTAAAACGTGTATTTATAATACTTTAGATTAATTCTCATCTGTCTAAATCTAGGGAGGAAATAGAGCTACTACTAATATTTCTGTGGTATTGTATTCAGAACAATTATAACTTTTTCATCAAATCCAATTTATATTTGCTGAGAGAAAAAAATACTGTCATTATTTTTCTAAGATGTAAACTTTGGCACTATTTTGGGGGTATACTTTTTCTTTCCTTGTTTTGGTTTTATGTGATAGTGTGGATAAGAGTGCATACTAAGAGAGCTGTCATGTATCTAAGCTGCGAGGGAACCAAATTCATAACTCTAGATAGGTTTGGTATGAACATATTCCTTTGTATAAGCTATGTCAAGGGCTCCTGACTCCTCTAAAATATATGTGTAGACATAAATGTCACTGATTTTTTTTTTTTTTTTTTTTTTTTTTTTTTCCTCCCCCACCCCCTTTAACTCAAGAATCTAACAAAAGACTCCAAAATTCTGAAGAATAAAAACAAATAGTAAAGTCCCCTAGGCAGACAATCATTTTGAAGAACTAGTTTCTTCAATAAATAAACATTTTTCTTTTTTAAATATACTGCATATATTTATTCTACTTTAATGCCCCTTTATTCTGACAAAATAGTATATGATGGTCTTCCATAAATGAGAATTAAAGACATACACATCAAAATATAACAAGTCAAAAAGTATGTATGACATCAACAGTGGTCTAGTATTTAAATGTGTAAAAATGAATAGTTATTCTCAAATGTTAATATATTTTTTACTTTGCTTGCCTCAGTAATAATTATTACTACTGACACGGGCAGGGGTCCTCCAGGAGGGCCGTGATCTCCTTGAGGCCCCTTCCCCCATGCCAAGCCGGTCCAAGAGCACCCTCCGATTCTCGCCCACCACGTCTTTGATGTTTGTATAAGTTTGGGAGGCTGTCTTATGACCTCTTAGACACGGTTCGTTGGGACCTCCGTCCCCGTGGACTCCCGGACTCTTCGTGGGTCTCACTGTACAATGGGTGCTTCTCAGGCACCCTAGTCTTATGGACTATGCGTGGCTCCAACCACCCCTTAATACCACGCCCCAAGCCTCACAGTAGGAATGGACATTGGTCTGTCGAATACACTCGCCCGCTCTCCGGGGCCTTCTCTGTGCTGCTGCCCTCTCTTAGGGCTCTCCGTGCTCACTCTGGGTCTTCTCTAGAATACTGCCCCTCTCTTGGGGCTCTCTCTCCAATGCTGCCCTTTTCCTAGGGCTTTCTCTCCAATGCTGCCCTTTTCCTGGGGCTCTCTCTGCCCAGTCTGGGCCTTCTCTGTAGTGTCGCCCCTCTCTGGGGCCTTCCCTGTGAAGCTGCCCCTTTCCTGGGGACTTCTCTGTGAAGTCGCCCCTTTCCTGGGGACTTCTGTGCCCACTCTGGGACTTCTTGGTCAAGCCACCTGTCTCTCGTGCCCACCGCACTGCTACCCCCTTTCTCCAGGGCTCACCGCACTACTACCCCCTCTCTCCAGGGTTTACCGCAGTACTACACTCTTCTCCGGGGTTTACCGCAGTACTATGCCCTTCCACAGGGGCTCACCATGCCCGCACTGGGGCTTCTCAGTAGTACCCCTTCTCTGGGGCTTGCCACGCCCACCCTGGGGCTTCTCAATAACACCCCCTCTCTGGGGTTTGCCATACCTGCACTGGGGCTTCTCAACAGTGCCCCCCTCTCTGGGGCTGGGGTCTATGTACCCCCTATGCTGCGCCCGCACTGGCGCTGGGGTCCTCACACTCTGCTGTGAGTCCCCTATGAGTAAACTGCGCCCTTACTGACGCTGGGGCCCCCACACCACTGTGGGTCCCTTATGAGGCCTCCTCCAACCCCTAATAGCCTCACCCAAGCCACTAGTGTAACAACAAAGCAGAATGCAAACACAAGCCTCTTGGCTACAACTTAAACCTAAGCCACCTGGCTGTAACAACATTGCTCAGACATCTTGGTGCTGCTCCCCTTTACTCTGCTAGCGGTACCTCCCGTCAGGCTTCCCCTCGCATCATTGCTCCAGGAGCTCCTCTCTCTCTCTGCCTGCATGCAGGGGACTCCTAGCCTGGCCTCAGCCCCTGGGCCTTATGAGGGCCAGTCCCTGCCCCTTCTGGCCAGCTGACCTCCTGGTTGCCCCGGGCAACCCACAGCTGTGCTCCTTATTCCCTGCCAGGGCTCTCTCCCTGGAAGTTTCCCCTCTCTAGGAGCAGAGCACCAAGGTGCCCTGCACCAACTACTATTGATCCTGTTAACTTTAAAAATGTTATGAGGGAGAATTCCTCCAGATGCCCCAATAAGAAAGAATACATCAGGTTAGCGTATCTACTTTTGAACAGGCTATTTTTTATAACAGAAGAAAGGAAGAAGTAGCAATTAAACTTTGACTCTGAGCCAACAATATAGATTGAAAAATTAAGTAGGAATTATTTAGATGAGAGGTGGAATATTAGAAAATTTATTCTTATAGACTTATTAAAATGTTCTAATTGTAGAGAAATGTATTACCTTTTTAGTAGCTTCAAGTTCTGCTACATAATGCTGAAGAATAAGACCAACAGTATGTGCTATTTCTTGCTGAAGACAGGGCATGTTCAGTTTCTGAAACCTATATTGGTTTATGATGAAAGAAATTAGACTATATTAATTTAAATTGTATTTTATAGCTGCTTTATCCCAAATTAAAACTCTGGGGTGTATATATATATTCATATACCACAAAGTGGCATACAAAAGCACAACTCAGAATATTTCAACTTCTCTCATCCAAAAACTTAAATGTCCTACCCCTAGCTTTTCTGAGATTTGTTTGATATTACCAAAAATTATTGAGGGGAATTTTAAAGATACGTTAAAAAGTCAATAACTATCCTTGGCCTGTCAGATTTCATGGTCCATAAAATCACAAATATATTATCCTAGACTAGGCGATTTGTGATACAATTAACAATACTATTAATAGATATTTTGTAAACATAACAACTATTACCTTTGCAGCAACTGAAGTGCATGCTGAGAAGACAAAATTCTTCCAAAACAACTACTCATAAAAGTCTGTATCTGCACCTATGACAAATAGGAATATTTCTAGATATCTTACAGTTCACGGCTAGGATTTCTATGATGACTAATAATATGTATACTTGTATTCCCATTTACTCTATGATACTTTCTTAATATATTACTTCTTTATTTTTTTCTCTTAAACAAGCACATGAAAACATTCATGAAAATACAAGAGAAAATGGGGAAGGATCACAACAAGAAATCATTGTTGCTTCTACATCATTTCAAATCTTGTGTTTCTATTTTATTAATGTTCAATGTGAAAAGTATTTCCCTAACTATTTTTTAGGGAAAAAATTTTGAACTCAGATCCTGAGGAATCCAGGGATGCAAATACAAATGTCTATTTTCTGCAAAGGAAAAGACATAAACAATCAATAGTGTAACAAGGGGGAGCAAGCAGGGAACCAGCCCCAGTCACCAACTATGAGGTGGTCCCAGAATCCACCCCCTGGGAGTCCAACACAACAAGGCAGCCTATGTTTCTGGACTAAAAGAAATGAGCAGCACAGCCCCACACTCAGCTGTGTATCTGGGGGCGATGGGATGACTGGAATGGTGTTTCCCTTGCCCAAGAGAGATTCTCACAGTAGGCACAGCCCTGTACTCAGCAGCATTTCTGGTCAGGGCAGGGAGGGAGGGGATGCAAACGGGGCCCCAGGGGCAGCCCCCAAGGAGCCCATGCCATGAGGTTACTACCACCAGACTCTCTTTGCTGCTGCTGCCCAGGTTCTCTGCACATGGAAGGCAGCTGGGACCTGAAGAAGAGCACACTGCTGCCATAGCAAGTTTATCCAAGTCTCTCAACCATGCACCTAGTTCAGTAAAATATATCACCCACAAAAATCCTTGCTTCTCTCATATTTCCTAGACCATCACGATTACAAAAGTACTCGAACACTATATCTGTGACATAGTTTTAAAAACTAAAGCACACTTTGCATGTTTGCCAGAAATTAAGTATGACATTCTTTTTATTCAGTTTCTATGTTGTAATTTTTTTATTTGGTGAAATATTGGTTCATATTTTTTGTTGCATGCCCCAAATTTCTGTTCAACAGAGCAGAAAGAAGGGGTCATCAAAGAGCCTATTACAATTCTGTGCATTTGCAGATACATTTGTTTCACTCTCAGAACTCAGTTTAGACTAGAAGTACTAAACCACAACATCTGTCTGCCAAAAGCAGTACTGTGGTGTTTGGTGAATGGGCAGGATTTACCTCCTGAAACTTACCTCCTCTCACCAAGCTTACCTGCTCCTAGTGTATCTGCAGAAAATAACTCTATACATACAATTAGAAGTAGCAAAAAGGTGAAAAAAAAAAAATGCATCTCTATGCCCATGCATGATTTTTCCTAGTGTGTATTTATAAGAGATGTGTCCAGTCAAGTTTAAATTTCCCAATTTCCTGAGTTTTCAATGCTTCCTTCAGGAAACTCCTCCATCATCCACTATATTTCAATGTGAGGAAATTACTCCTCAATACCAGCCTAAAATTTTCCTTTCTTAAATTCATTTTGTTCTTCTCAAATATATTTCCTTTCAATTCTGCTCCTATATATTTTCCATAACTCTTCCTTTTCCTTATCTTATATCCTTATAAGTATGCAATCTATTATTTTTGTCATAGCTCTTCTAACACTAGTTATCACTCAGCTAAAACTAGATACATATATGCAATTTTAGCACTAAAGACAGTAGACTATTGCATCTTGTGCCATGTTAAGATGATTCTGAGTATGTAACTCCAAAATGCATTGGCTTTATGCATTACAAGCTCCTGCCTCACTTACAACCCACTGTCTTCCTTACATTTCTTAAAACAATTATATTTTTCAGGTATCTTCCATAAATATTTATGTTTTATATCAGGGTGGCCAACCTGCAGCACTAGTGCTACTAGTGGCACAGGAAGCTTGTCTGTGTGTGTGGCTTGTAGCAGATCACAGAGAGGACAGGCAGCACAGCAGCATGTAGGGCAAGAAATAGAAGGCAGAGCAGGAGATCAAGCAGAGGAAAGAGATTGGAATCAGTAAGACACCTGCCAAAAAGGTTGTCTCTTGCTGTTTTATATTATTTATCTCCAAAGATATCAGCCTGCATTCATGGAGATGTCAAATGGCTCTGGTTCTAGGTCTTCTCAAGTTGCTTGGGCAAATATTTCAATTAGACTTTTATGCAAAAGACAGGTGGCACCATCACAATTACCAGTTGGCAGTTGGTTGGTCCCCAACTTCTGGGGAACTAAATAGCTGGATCCTGATCAAGACATAGGGGCAGGAACTCAGGCACATTCCTATATTTAACATTTCCCATGGCTACCTCTAGGTATCTCCTAATTTTCTGGATGGCCCTCCTGGGTTAAGTACAGACAGTCACAAAGCACGAGGATGAATCAATTCAATCTTTGTAGGTTAGTCTAAACTGCAGAGATTAAATTGAGAAACAACTGGACACACATTCACTTTGGATTCAGGAAATGCAGCCATATGTGGCCAAATGCAGAAGCTCAGGCCAGAAGGCTGGGGGCACTACAGCACAGCTCTCTGGCACATAGCCAGCATTGGCTGTGTATTCACTTCCTCTTCTTACTGTCCTTGATGTCTCTGGGATTTGAGGTCCAGAATCACAAAAGCAGGAATCTTCAGGGTTGCTCTTCGCTTCCTCTTCTTGCTTCCAGGTGACTCTGGGATTTGTAGTCCACAGTCACAGCCAGCAGTAACTTTTGGTACCTTTTAGCAGGGCAGTTTGCCTGGGGAGTGGGGCAGTCCCTGCCTCCCCCACTCTCCACAACCCTTATCTGCTGGAGAAGACAGCACAGCACAGCACAGCACTGGAAAGCTTGCTGGAATGCTGGGAGACTCTGATTTAACTTAAACTAGGAAGGGATTTGGGACAGAAGTTTCACAAACCAGCTTGACCCAAATCAGTTAACTCTGATACTATGTTCCACCAGGTTTATCTTAAACTAGTTCCAGCCATTTTGAAATTGGTTTATGTTCACTGAACTTCTGTTCTGTTACAGGTTTAAACCAATTTATGATCATTTAAACCAGTTTACATGTAACTTCTGTCCCTAGCCCTGATTTACCTACTACTCCTTACGGTCTTGTAGCAGGGGGCAGCTGAACCCTGTACTTACCAGGACAAAGTCCGCCAGCACGCTCCACAGTCAGCAGATCCCCAGCTATGTTCACAGGGAAATGGTGAGCCCGCGTTCCTGGGGCAAGCCCCATGGCACTGCTGGGCAGGCAGCCAGCACACAACAGGCATTTCCTGAGCCCTGTACCCAGAACGGGGCGGGGATCAAAACCCCAGGCCCACAGGAGCTTGGGCTGCAGCTCCAAGAAAGAACAGGCAGCTGGTGCACGGAGCACCACCTGTGGTTCAGAGGCAGCAGCTGCAGGGGATAATGAGCCCCTCAGGGGCTGCAAACATCTGCCAGCAGCAGGGCACATGGAGGTGCACAAAGAGCTGGATTGGCTCACACTAGCCTGGATACCCCTAAGAAAGTCTGGACTGACACCAAGGCAGGAGGAACGCACAGCCTGCTGAGGGGTCTCATCACATTTTCCCATGGAGGCAGGGGACCAGGAACACAGGACAGTGCACATCTGAACTCTCCAGACTGACACCAGACAACTGCGCTGTTGGGAGGAGCCAGATACCTCTAGGGGCTAAGCCAGGGTTTGTAACACCAGTGGCCCCACATTACTCCATGGGCTTGCCCACGACAGGCAAGACCATACAAACTAAGCCCAAACAGGGCTACCCCTGTCTGACTGAGACTGCCTGATGGAAGATGACCAAAGCACCCATAGGGCCAGAGAAAGGCCTAGGGTACAGCCATTTGAGTTATTTAGTTTATGTGCTTCTTTATACAGGCCAAGCCCAGGTAAGCACAGAACTTGCAGCAAACTTCAGCAATCATAAGTGAAAAGCACCAGATTCAGACAATTCAGCTATTTCTCTCTATGCCTGAGCTGCAGGGCAAGGACTCAGGCCAGCCAAACATGTGTATCCAGCGCCAACTAGAACCCTAAGTGTTGGAACAGCATAGGATAGGGCCATGGGGCCTGACAGCCCTGTGCTTGGTGAGACTGGGCCATGGGGATGAGAGTTCACTCAGTTATAGCACCCAGCAGAGATCGCCTGATTCTCGCCTGCCATGTCTTGATTTTGAAATATGTCTTAGTCGGGAGATGGTCCACTTCTGCTGTGTATAGTCCTGGATGAGCTAGGTCCAGTTCTTCTATGGGGCTCCAACCTCCCCTATGCCCTGTCCAAATGCCATTGTGTTGTTACAGCATTCATTGCGCCCTTGGTTCTCAATGGGTGCTCTTCTTCACCCCTCCAGACTTCCATTCATCTCAGGCCTGGTTTGTAGAGACTGCGACTGAGCCAGCCCTGCAATTGGTTGATTGTGGCATGATCCATAGAGAAAAAATGAAGGACAATACAAATGGTGAAACAAAACTCAGGTAAATCTTGGCTAGTAGGGTCACTGTACCACAGACGTCATCCACTGGCCCTGAGATAATCCAGACCTTAGGGCTGTGGGTCTTTCCTAAGTTCCCAGCCCTCCAAAAAGGAATAAAAGGCACCAAAAGGAAAGATACAGGCCTTCTTGGCCCCTTCATCCCAGCTTGGGCATTTCCCAGCCATGGACATTCTGGCATCCATCATCAAAGCTTCAGCGGCACCTGCCACCTTTCCCAAGTACAGCGAGTCCGTCCACCGTGGCTCCTTGGCAAACCTAAAGTTGGTTCCCCTGCCAGCATGATTAAACTGGCATTGGTTTGACCCTTCCCACTTTTCCTAGGATTGCAGCCCAGCCTCCCAAGCTCTATCACCAAGTAAAGAAAAAGCAAAAGCAAAAACCTGCTCAGAGCACTGCATTTTCTCCAGATGGCTCCTTCCTTCAGCGTGTCTCCCTGCCGCTGCTCTCTGCCATCCCCACTGCTGCGGTCTTTGTGGTGGTGTTATAAATCAATGGAGTTCCTCCAGTCTTCCACAGGGTAGTTCTGCTGGTTCAGAGCTCCTTCGCTGGTGTCTCAGCATTCCTGGTTCCCCATACTCATCCAGTGTCTTTCTTCCCTGCCCCAGCCCTGGCAGCAGGCCAGGAATACCCACACTACCGCTGGCAGGGCCAATCTTGATTGAGCAGCTGCTGATGAACTGCAATGGCCAGCAAGTCACTTGTTGCAGTTGGCTCCAGCTGGGTCGGTAAGTTTCCTCCTGCTGTGAGCTTGGGAGAGTCTTTTCTCATTTCTTCACGCTGAGTGGAAAGGTGTGTGGTGTAGGGGAGGAGGAGCCCCAAAGAAGACCTCAACACTGACCCACGCTAACCTTGGCATGCTCTCTTTCTAAGCAACTACTGCCTCTATATATCTCTATATCCCGCGGGCCTCATCTCAGTGTGGCAACTTGGCCTGGGTTCCCTCTACACTTCTGTATAAAACTCTTACGATAGCAAAATGTGGCCAGGTGCCTTCCAAACTTGCCTTCCAATCATGCCATTGACTCCAACAGGATCCAAAACACCTAAACATCATCAATTGGATTGCTTTCCATAGCTAAGGTACCTAGATTTTAGATGTTGGGATGACAAGCTGCATCACCCTAAAGCAGATGAACAGCAATAATAAAGAATGCTTATCATACTCACATATTTATCTTCACAATATTTGTGAGATTTACCCAAATTTAGGCTATGATCTCAGATTCGACAATAAATTTCACTACTTTGATTCGTAACTGTCCAGTTTCAATGTTATTAACTGAACACTTATTTCCAGAAGCTAACACACAAATCCTATGATATCAATGGAATTTATTCATATGAAAGACAGAATAACAGACACACATTTTACAAACGAGTAGTCAAATATATCTCTACTGCCAACATTTAAATATTCTTAAGAAAGGTAAGTGGTTTAAGAATTACGTAAACATGAGTCCATTTAATAAATTGTGAAATTGGTGTTTTTTAGTTTGACAATAAAACCTAAAGATATAGGCCCTTTCCAGTAAACACTCTCAGTGAATTCCAGGTAGTTTTTAATAAGTAACGGTGACAGAATTTTGCCCTAGTTAAAATACTAATAGCAATACTACCTACCTCTAAACCTCCGATTTTTGTTGAAAAGTCAACAAAATCTATATCAAATTCTGTTTTTCGTGGGTCAAGAATATCATATTGTTTCTTCTGGATACTTTGGTAGATATTTTTGAATTTTATTGCCATAATATCTATACCTTCAATTGTAGACATACTCAGTGCAGAAAAAGTTTGTACTATAGTAATCATTTCTGTAATCTGAAATAAAAGAAAATCACACTCATAAAACATTATCAATGCATTTTAATCAACTTTTGGTATTTCCTTTTAGCAAGGTAATAATTATATCCAGGTCTAATTAGACTAAACTCAGGCTAATGACCAACCTCTTCTTATAAACTACTATCCACAAGATATCATCCCAATCACTTTTCATCAAATATAACTAAATACAGCAGCCTCGACTTGCAACCTCAACCCTTACCATAATTCTTTCTACCATAATCAGCCACTCAGATCTGGGGCAAGATTCCCCTCAACCTTACTCCCCCCTCTGCCTGCTTTACAGACAACAGCTATTAGTTTAACCTTCTCACAACTGCTACTGAGTTAAGGCTTTTACAGTACTGATCTGCATACAATTAGGGACTTGTTACACCTTACACAGTAAGCCAAACAAATGTTAATCAGCTTTGTGTTGTTCGATTTAGTGGAGCAGTCATCACCTTAAGATGAAAAATCATCTGTAATGAAACTGTGACTGTCCCTCACCTGCACTGCTGTGACTTGCCACTAGAAGTTTGGTAAGCAGGGTCAGGACTAGGAACCTATAAGTAAAATGTTTCTTAGAGCAAACCAAATCAGTGCTGTCAGCCACAATATCTTCAATTTCTGTTGTTTTTTAGTCTATTGTATTTATTGGCATTGACTGCAATGACAATAAATACAGCTGGGTCGGTAAGTTGTAGGACTGGTTCACTGCTTCTGCCAGGCAGAGCCAGCACCGCAGCCCCAGAGTGCCTGGTGACTGTGGTACCTCCTGCTGCCATCTGAACCAGCTCACTGCCTGAACTCTGAGGAACACAATCCTTTTTTTCCTCCAGAGCCCCCTTCCCCATGCTGTCCCTGCCTGGGCACCACTTGAGCTCCAAAAGGAAGCTCAGGTGGTGTTTGGCCAGGGGTGGAGTGGGGGGGGGCTGGAAAGGGGCAGCTCTGGAGATAAAAAGGAGTGGGCCCCTTGGAACTCAGCTGGCTAGGCTGCCAGCTGGCCAGGTGCCTTCTGAGCTCTGGAAAAAAAAGAATTGGGCCCCTTGGAGCTCAGATGGCACCCAGCCAGCTCAGGGGCCCTCATTAGCCTGAGGAGCAGTCTTTTTTTTCTCTGAAGCTTGCCTTCCCATGCTACCATGAGTGGTAACAGCAAGATAATCTAGGCAGCAGCAGGAGGCACCATGACTTCCAGGTGCTCCAGGGCTGTGCTCTGCCCAATGCCCCCAGGGGGTGAAACACTGTGTCCAGGCCCGTTGCACCCTGGCATCCACACTGCTAGTGCATGATAAAGTGCAGTTAGCCTTGTTGACCACTTCATCACATTGAAGACTTCAATTTGGGTGGAATAGCTGTGGAAAGTGGCCACACCTTAATGGAACAGGAGCAAAATTAGGTGGATTAGAGATAATCCTGCCCTAGGGTGGTATAACTAAACCGAATGATGAGTGCTTTAAGCCAGTTAAAATGTGTTAAGGTGAAGCCAGTCCAGGGGTTAAGGGCTCTAGAAGCCACCTAAAATTGCTGTGTAACAAGGGTCTTAAGCTGCAGTTGTGAGGGGGTGAATTGTAGCTGTTATAGTTGCAGCTACGAGGGAAGGAAGGGAGTGAGGGTGATGAGAGGGTTCTACTCCTGCTATGCATAGCTGGAGCCTCTAGCTCCTGCACTGGCAGTACAACTCTGTCTCCTCCTTCACACCTTCTTTTCAAGGAAAATTTTTTCTTCATTCTGACTTCCCAAAATAAGGTGCTTGTGTTATTTCAGAGGTGTAGTATGTAAATAAATTGTGGGGGGGGTTTAATAAACTGGGGCACAATAGGATGGACTTGAAAATTAAATTGAACCATCTATATTTAAGATATAGAGCAGTGTTTCTCAAACTTTTGATACCTGGAGCAAACTTTTTCCTGGATTAAAATTGGTGGCATACTTCACTCTTACACGTGAAAAGATACATTTACATCACACACCCCCACACACCTTATAAAATAATCCCCATATTTCATTCCCCTGGTAGAGGAAATTATACCAGTGATAAGATGTATTGTTAAAAAATAACTAACTTTTCTGAATTTCATGGTACCCTGGCTGAAAATTACTTAGATCTAAATTCAAAAAAGATATGGAGGGGAACCTTGAGGGTAAAAAAAGTTAAGAACCACTTATCTAACTGTTGCCATTTAAGGGAGTTGGGGGCAAATCCTCACCCTGCTGCGCCCTGCTTTTTCCACTTTCTGCCCCTTCCCAACTCTTGGTCTGTACCTCAGGGGACAGGGGCAGCCCCCACTGCTGAGACTGCTCCTCCAGTGTCTCACCCCTGTGCCCCTCTTGCTGACCCCAGGAGTATGGGAGTGGAGCAGATGAGCTAGGCTATGAAGTGCAACTCCGTACATCCACCCACCCACCCGCAGAGGGCATGCTGCTGGCAGTGGGGGCGGGGCTGGCAGAGAGGCTGCCTGGGTATGCAGAAGCATGTGGGAAGGCAGAAGCAGGGATGGCAGCCCCCAGAGAAGCAGCCACAGGTGCTGCTGGAGTAGCTGGGGGAGGTGCTGGGTGCCCACTGGGAAAGGAGAGCATACACCTCCTCATACAGGGGGATCTTCCAACATACTTCCTTTGTTCTGTGCGGTGGCACACCTTTTGGGAATCACTGGTATAGAGATTAGAAGTGATGAGTGAAATAAACAAACCAAAAGGATAATATCAGAGTAGTGGTGAGCAGTAGTAGTATAAATGTAACTTCCAAAGAAAGAGAAGCAGTTAAACAAAAACAAATATTTTTCTCTGTATTTGTTCACGTATTGTTTACTATTTTTTTTTTTATTTATTCAGTCCCTACATCTTATCTACTCTAAGAAGTCATGTATTTATTTCATTTAGTAACACTGAGGCATTACACAGATCACCAAGTCTGGGGCAGGTACATCTTGAAAGTTTTCTGTCCTCCTGATCCCAACTGTATCAAGATTTTATTTATAGCAGGAAACTTTGGCCAGTTTGGCAATATTTGTATTTGTACATGGACTTTATAATTAGTGAGAACAAAAACACCACTGAACCTCAAAATCTATTTACCTTGTTACTATCATAAGACTTGCAGTTCAGGGGACAGGGGTGGGAGGGGACAGGGCTAGGCTGGCCTCGTTGCTGGCTCCTACTGGCTCCCCCCTGGGTCCTACTGCCCCCTGCTCCTGTCATCTTTGACAGGCAGCCAGGAGAAGATAAATATATATTTTCTAAATTTTTAGGGATCCTGTGGGCCAGACAGAATGGCCTGGTAGGCCAAATCTGGCCCGCAGGCCGTATTTTGCCCACCCCTGGGCTAGAGGCTGAGCTCCACCCAGGGCAGGACATAAGGTCAGTGCCTCGTAGAATAGGGAAGCTCAAGTGACCTGAAGGTGCTGCCTGTGCACCAACTAGTATGAGAGTAGGAAACCTGATTGCCCAGGGGGTCGCTCAAAAGGATCAGGGCAGGTTCAGAGTGGCGCAGTGAGGGGTGGTATGTAAGAGGGCCTGTGAGAGGGGACAGAGTGAATAAGGCCCTGTGAGAGGAGGCAGAGTGTTTGAGTAGAATGGGAGAGGCCCAGCCAGGGGCAGAGCTAGCCCGGCCTTGGGCTGGAGTTATGATCTACTTATGATGCCATCTGCAAGGCATGGGACATGGCATAGGGATGATATGGAGCTGTGTACAACACTCCCTGGCATCAGGGCATTAAAATGGGCAGCCTCCCTCATTTTATACCAGTTATCAAACAACAACTCGTTGCAGGCAAGATTGGGTGGACTGCCCCACATAGACAGTTGGGTGGGCTGATGTTGAGATCTGGCCTTAACTTAGTCCCCTGTCACAGAGTCATTGTGGACAGCTTGTTAAAAACACCAGCTTGGTGCTCAGCAGCCATCAAAAAGGAAAGCAAAAATGGTAGGAATGATTAAGAAGGGAATTGTACACAAAACAAAGCATCATCATGACCCTTTATAAATCCATGGTGCATCCACACCTTGAATACAGTGCCCAGTTCTAGTCCTCACACTCCCAAGTTGAAGTCTTCTGCAAAAAGAATATAAAACTACAGAAGGCACAGAGAAAGCCAACAAGGATGATTAGTGGTATGGAAGGTGTAACAGAGCACTTTTAGTGCCTGTCACTTTAAGGGCTAGGCCTGGGAGAGGGCAGGTGCCTGATCAGGGCAGCCATTTAATGCCCAGCTCTCTGGGCTGATGGGGGGCAGTTTGTGACCAGCCAGCAGAGGAGAAACATCTCCCTGCTGAGCTCTTGCCCCAGGAACAACATGGAGGTAAAGGGGAAGCTATGGGGGAGGAGGAGGCCTCAGTGGTCCTGGGTATGACCTAAAACTGCACCCTGCTAGGGAAGGATGGCCTGGTGGAGCTCCTGGTAGTGTGGGAGTCCCCAAGAAATGCCCAACCAGTTGCCTCCCCAATGAAAGGTAGGGAAGGGTGCCTAAAACCTAGCCTCCACCATCTAGTGGGTTTTTTAGTTAGAACTGGTGGGCCAGACATGTCTAGGCAGGCACCTGAGCCTATGGGGGCGGTCAGGATGGAGGATCCCAGAGAGCCCTGGCCTCGGCAAGGGGGCGGTGTGGAGTCCCCAAGAGATAGGGGCAGAGAAGTGGCCCAGAGATGGGCGTGGGGCAAAGTTAACCTCAGTTTGACAAATTGCCTGGTAGCCACTCAGATGAGGGCATGAGAGAGCACCAAATTGCTGTATGCCTGCTGGCCAAGGACTGAAGGGAAATGAGCTCGATGGCCCAAGGGGGTCGCTCAGGGAGCAAGGGCAGGATGTGTGTGGTCCAATGGAACCCTGGTGAGAGCAGGGGGAATGAATGAGTTCCCTGTGAGAGGGGGGCTGCATGCATGTGGCCCATAACAGGGCAGTATGGAAGAGGCCTAACTACGGCCAAATTTGGTCTGGACTCGATCCAGAGACAGACAGAACTTATGTTGGCATCCGTGAGGCATGGGCTGAAGTGTTGGGGATGGTTCGAAGCTGCAAATATCATCCCTAAACATCAGAATCTTAAAATGGGCAGCCTCCTGCATTGTGAAGATCATAATTTAATCACACCAAGGTGTGGTAGGCAAGACGGGCAGGCAGAGTGCCCATGGACAGGGGGCAGCCCAATAGAAAGATCAGGCCAGCAAGCTTGCTCGTTGTCACAGGGGCTTCCATATGAGGGGAGACTAAAGAAGCCAAGATTATTCAGTTTAGAAGAGATACTTAAGGGAGGACATAATAAGGAGTATATAAAATACTAAATGGCTAAGAGAAAATATAATACAAGAACTAGGAGTCATAAAACAGAACTAGTAGGTAATAAATTCAAAACCAATAAAAGTTCTTTTAACACAAGGAATTAAAGTATGGAACTCATTTCAACAAGATACTTTGGAAGCTGAAAGTTTACCCAAAAAGGGATTGGACAAATTCTTGAAGGAGAGGTGCATCAGGAGCTACTGAGCACAGGAGTTAGGAATACAGCCTCCGAAGCAGAACGTCTTAGAACTTAAATGCTGGGTGCTGCAAGTGGGAGAGAAACAGTGGAAAAATCCTTGGTGATATTCTGTTCACTCTCCCTTTCAGCATCTGCTCTCTGCCACTGTGTGACACAAGATACTGAGCAACACGGACCTATGATCTGACCCAGTAAATGGCAGTTCTTACTATCTAAAAATACCAGATATTTTTTTTTTTTTTTTTTACTTCCTACTGTAATAAGAATGCAGGATACTAAGTAATCCTTTACTCAAAATTTAATCATTAAGCAAACACATTTTTCAACAAAACAATTTTATGACATACTTACTTTTTCTAGCCTTTTACAAAAAGCTTCAAATTTACCGAAGATATACATCTCTGACACCTCAAATGTCTTTTCCCCTAAGGCTTCCAAGATCTGTGTCCTTGTTTTATGAAAACATTTTTGATATTCTTTAAATAAAAACATGCAGTCCTAAAAAGGTTAAGAAACAAATACCACAATAAATATTAGTTAAAGGGTTAAATTATTATTATTATAATTATAAATTATTATTATTATTAGTTAAATATTAGTACAGTATTTATTATGATGTACAAAAAAGTCTGCTATTTCTGCTGGTATGTATTACCATTTTGACACTAAAATGAATGTGTGGAAAAACCTACTTAATTTACTCATAATGATATTTTTCTATTCACATCTCCAAGAAAAGAGTGCCAGGGAAAAAACTGTGCCTTCTCCTAGAGATCCAGGCAAAACTACCAAGGCTAGGCAAATGGCCAATAAGGACTTGTATACCTATTTCTTATCATTAAAAATAATTTATTCATAGCACAAAACTTGTATCTTGCCCCACTTCCAAGCACTGTTTCTCTTGAATTCCTATCCCACATCTTTTTTCCTGTACTCATGTGATTTGTCATCTTAATCTAATACTGCAAAGAACTGCACATATGTTTAAATTTAAACAAATAATTCCCTCTAACTGAATTATGAAATATTACTCAATCCTCATAATTGAGAATGTACATCAATCTTTGTTGGAGGACTTTACTAATAAATCTTTATCATGTGTCAGCACCATAGCCAAAATAAGTGGGGCTTCTGAATGGCATATGATTAATAGTAACATGCGATAATATGCTTAATAATGCATCAGATGGTTTATATTAAATAAAACTAGATCAAATATTAGTCCATTAGCATCTGATGGGTTGTTTTAACCTTAATTTAGAAAAAAGAAAAACAATCAGTAGCTATTGAATAACAGACAAACAACAGTCAAATCATAGTCAAGGTCCCAAGTATTTCACAATACCATGGAATTGGTCTAAGAATTCACACCTATTGCGAAATTGTGTTCCAGAGTCTTAGTTTTCATTTCTGTAAATAGTTTTCTAGTTTGAGTAGTTACAAAAGAAAAGCCTGAACATATGGATCAAGGGTAAAACAATGAAATTTATTAATGTAATGATAATGATAATGTAATCAAGGGTAAACCAATGTAATGATAATTTTGGGAAAATTGACAGTATCGGCAATTGGCTTTTTTTGGCTGACGTGGCCAATAATGCCGTTGATAAATGCCCCATGAATGCGTGCAGCCACAATGCAGCACACAGGCAGCCAGGAGCACAGCCCAGCAGCATGGACAGCAGCCAGGTCTGGCTGCTGTTGCAAGGGAAGGGGTGTGGGGGGGGAGGGGAAAGATTGAGGTCCAGGCGGTGAGGGAGGGAGTGGGGCTGGGGCATGTGCTGTACAACCAGGGTGGGGCATGGGACAGCGCTGCAAGCTGATCCTGGCAGGGAGGTTGGGCTGGGGCTGCACTCAGGGTAGGTGGCAGCGAGACTGGTTGGGGGCTACAAAAAATTTTGGGGTGGCTGTAGCCACCCCCATAGCCTCCCTCTTGGTGCTGCCACCACCTGCCCCGAGCACAGCCCAGCCCAGCTCAGCCCAGCCCCCCAGGAAGAGCTCAGCACCACCCCAGCCCCAGCTCACAGCAGCAACTTGCCCTCGCCCCGCACACATATCTGGGGGCACACACCCCCGCACCCTCCTGGGGTGCGTGCAGTGGCAGAAGTCAACCCCTCCCACTCACAGCTCTGTTCTGCACTCCACCCCAGCTGTGCAGCACCTGCCCCAGCCCCACTCCCTCCCTCACCATGAGGGCCTTGATCTACACCCCTCATGCCCCTTCCCTCCCTCCTCGCCCCTTCTGCCACAACAGACTGTGGAATCAGAAAAAAATAAATGCCTTAAACTTTGATCATATGAGTTATAAGATGACATAACCGCTTTGTTGGGAATTGCTGGCTCTGTATAGTAGAACAGATAAGGGAAAGTGTTTGTTCTTTGTAACTCCTCTGCAACTGCTTCGCTCACCGCGGCCTTGAAGATAGCAGAAAAAAAAGTACATACAACTCTGATTTCCAGGTGCAAGAAGGGAATGTCATTTCTCGCTTTGTCTCCCCCATAGTTCCCATCCTGATAACAGCAAAGCAGTATGAGCTGGTGTTTGTAGCTGCTTTCCTAGCAAACTCCACTATATGATCACGTGAGTTGTAAGCGACTATTAAAAAATATATAAGTCTCCTGATTTTGCTCTTGGGGGGAACCCCTTCCAAGTGCTTGGAAAATCCATGTCACTTTAGAGTCCCCCCTACAGCTGTAGTTTCATTTGAATAAAAGCTTCTGCTGACCTGACCCAAAAGTATGCTGCGTGTGTTTCCACAACAAGACTTACCAGCCAGATGCTGCTCTCCAAGCTGCCCGGCTGATTATCAGGAATTTAATCAGTATCAGCCAATACAGCTCATTAAAAATCAGCCACCAGTATTAGCTCAAAGAACCTTTATTGGTGCACCCCTAATTTTCATACCTTATTCAACAGAACCTTCAAATGTATAATATTTTCTTATACAGCTGCAGTATTGCTACCTGACTGCTGCAAAAGTTAGTCACACTTGCTGCACAGGGCCTTAATCATATGCAGTCTGAATTTGGTTTTTAAGTTACTTTGTAAAGTAGAACAGAAAGTGCTCTAAGAAATTCCAATAATGTTATTGTGTTCCCTGCACACCCGAATACTATAATCCACCCAGAGTATACTCGCAGTATGACTTTATCATCTTCTATTATCCTCCTACATTGCAATTCAGTTTGGTCTCAGAGGCACCTACATTTAGGCATTCCAATATCTAAAATTGAGGTGCCTTACCTCAGAGAGAGTAACCAAATTTTAACTGGATTTAGATATCTAGGAACCCTATAGCACAAACAGGAAGAATCAGTCACCTCTGAAGAGCAATTCAATTTGACATAACTGCTCTATACAGAGAATGGGGGGAGACAGATGCCTCCACAGGGTAATTCAGAAAGCCAAGAGGTATTTAGAAGTAGCCAATGAAAACAAAACAAAAATAAAACAAAACTAAGCACCGGGATGTGTTTGAACCTCTGCCCTTCAGTGGGGTTTAGGGATTTAACTCAAAGTACACAATGGTCACGTTCAATAAGTCTCAACTACACTATATCTACACTGCAGTCTCAAATACACTAATACTAAATCCAATACATCTACTCCCCCATTTGACAAAAAGTAGTCTAACAGTTGGGGAAGTAGTAATGCCCACTTTTTGCACAATAACATAGTGGTTAGAGTACTTATGCATGAAGAATGAGATCTGGGTTCTAAGTAGTCTTTACCTCAAGGGGATTAACACACGATCTCCTACTTCCTTGTAACTATCTTACACTAGGAAAAGCAGGCAAGAAAACAGAAGGAAATATGCCACTGTAGACCAGTGTTTACATAATTCCCCTGGGAGTAAGGCGTTCTGGTTTCTGCTCCCTTCTCTCAGGGTTACTTCTATTTTTAAATAATGATTATCTAATGTAAAAGAATGATTTACAGGTAGCTCATACATTGCTTAACTACACAGGTGTATACACTATAGACAGAACCGGAACCTTGAGGTTCTTTGGTTCCTTCCTTTTCTTTTCTCCTCACCACTCCTTTACCAGTTAATTTGTTTTTCCTACTAACATTTCTAAAATCTTCCCCATTCTATTCAACACATGGCCAAATTCTGGCTCATGCTATTAAGCAGTTCTCATCAAAACTATTGACCTCTACATTTCCAGTCTCCATGACTCCTCCTCATCATCTTTCCAATACACTTAAACACTGGGATGTGTCCAAATCCCTGCCCTTCAGTGGGGTTTAGGGGCCTGACTTAACCTGTATATTAGACACCTTCATTCAGTCTCAGTTACGCTACATACACACCACAGTTTCAAGATAAGCCAAAATAAGCTCCCTTTTTCACTCACCTCCTATCATTCTTTCAATGGTCCCTATGCATTTCTACACAAAGCCTGAATTCATCCCTGTTTTAAAAAAAATACTGCTTTGTCTACATTTCATTATTGCCCAACATGCCTAGTAGTTTGCCCATTGTTCTGCTCCCTTTGACCCCTGTTTCTGCTCTTCTCTTTGGGCTTTATCTCACACTACTAATGATGCCTAGAAAAAACATTTCTCCTCCTGTACATTTTTAGATCTTAATCCTGCTCCTCTAGACATATTTGCCTTCTATGCCTTCAGTATTTACTCTTCCAATTTTTGGGCTACTTTCAGCTTCTATTTAAAAATATCAGAATTTCTTATTGTGATGTCCCCAGATGGTGGTGTGAGTATCTCCCGCTCACTGGGCCAGGCACCCCAACTCACCTACCATGACTTGATTCATAGATGTTAGGGTCGGAAGGGACCTCAATAGATCATCGAGTCCGACCCCCTGCATGGGCAGGAAAGAGGGCTGGGTCTAGATGACCCCAGCTAGATGCCTATCCAACCTCTTCTCGAAGACCCCCAGGGTAGGGGAGAGCACCACCTCCCTTGGGAGCCCGTTCCACACCTTGGCCACTCTAACTGTGAAGAAGTTCTTCCTAATGTCCAGTCTAAATCTGCTCTCTGCTAGCTTGTGGCCATTATTTCTTGTAAACCCCAGGGGCACCTTGGTGAATAAATACTCACCAATTCCCTTCTGTGCCCCTGTGATGAACTTATAGTCAGCCACAAGGTCGCCTCTCAACCTTCTCTTGCGGAGGCTGAAAAGGTCCAGTTTCTCTAGTCTCTCGTCGTAGGGCTTGGTCTGCAGGCCCTTAACCATACGAGTGGCCCTTCTCAGGACTCTCTCCAGGTTATCCGCATCCCTCTTGAAGTGCAGCGCCCAGAATTGCACACAGTGCTCCAGCTGCGGTCTGACCAGAGAATTGCACGCAGTACTCCAGCTGCGGTCTGACTTGATGGAAACATACTTGAAGGAGGGGTTCAGTGGTGTTCCCATGCTGTCCTGGGGACATTAATACTCATGGGGTCAGTGCTGCTGGTCCTTCTACGCCCCAGTCCACTCACCAACTGTGCGGGCTGTCGTGCCTCTGTTCCTAATTACTGGTACTGGCTCCTTATGGCCTCTCATTGGGCCTCGCTTCGTCAGTCTCAGGGGAGAGTGCAGGCTTATGGTTTCAGCCTGGCATTCGTCCCCGCTTCTTGACCCTGCTCCATCCTTTTGCCAGGCCCAGAACAGCCATGCCCTCTGTAGGGTTGAGAACAGCTGCAGTGACTCAGAGCTCCCAACGCTGGGATAGAGCCCAGAGTCCTCCGCTGGGTGCTCTGCCTGGGGAAGTGTATTCTGTCTTCCCCACTTTGTCCTACTTTGGCGGGTCAGCGTTGTGGAGAGCCTGTGCTAGCCAGGATCCACCCTCATGAGCTTGTTGTCTCACCCCAGTGGCTTCCCCTATGCCTGGCCTTTGCAAGAGATTTAAAAACCCCAGCAGCAGCAGGCACGGCTGATGTCATCAGCCAGCTGCCGCCCAGCCTGATTGACAGCTGCTTGAAAAGCCAGCTTGCACAGCTCCGGCTCTCTCCCGGGTAAGTTCCCCACAGCATCAGGGTCCCCGGGGCTGCCTTCGGGAGCGCTAGGGTCTGTACCTGATGCCTCTGACCCCTGTGAGCAGCTCCACCTGCCACACTTATTTTTTCTCCTATTCTCTAATTACTTATTTTGCTTGTTTCAAATGTCACTTTTTCATTCCTTTACTCATTACCTTCAAATTCTATGCCTATTTATCTTGCACTGTAAATTCTATAAAGTGTTATGACTGATAAAAGTATCTCTAAACAACAAGTTGACAAATGTTCATAAAACCAAACAATATATTCTTGTGTAATAAAAATATTTGACCTTAATGTACTCTTGCTATTAGCATGTGTTTATCAGGTGAAAATCAAAAGCTAGGGTAGGTGATCAGTAAAAACAACAAAATGACATTATACAGACCTGAATTTTTTTAATAACTACTGGTATTTCCTGGTCCCACACACGAGAAACACCACCATCAGTAATATAGGCCTTGCATGCTGTGACCATTTGATTTGTCACCTAGTATAGACACATGAGCACAAACAGTACATCGTGTTAACCAGCTCCAAAAATAAATGCCATTGCATCTTTAAAAAATAAATTATATGTCTGTAATTGAAATTGTTTAGTAACTTTAAATTTCTTACCATCCATGATATTCAGATAAAAGTCTAGAATTTATAGACTTTAGTATAATATTCTTATAGGCTTAAAACAAGGGAAATTATTTGTTTATAATTCTGCTTCTTGAAAATGACTTTGACAAGATTCTCACATTCAGATCTTACCTTTCTGGAATAAAAGTGGCAGAACCACTGACGTTATGATAACTTTTACCTATGAGGACAATAGTAGCTGTGAATCATGTTCTCTACTAGGAGTCATGTATCATGTGGGTGTGCAGGAAT